TGGACCCATAAGTATATGGCCCTACGAGTAAACCATCCGAGGAAAAGGTCGAGTTTTCCCAGAAACCTCACATTACGAATAGTTACAACTCGCCCGCAGGCTGCCCGAACGCAAGCCTGTGTAAGTGACTTACCGTACCATGGGCATAAAATAGCTATCGGGTGGGAATACGCGGATTGTACTGAAACTATTGGCTACAGTTCGCCTCGAACTACTGACCACAGTTCGCGGTGGCGTAGAAATCCCAGTGTACTTTTATCTGTGAATCGTACTACTGAAACCAAGGACCAGACTCACAGGAGTGAAAAGTATTTCATAGATCTGAATGAGTTTTCAAAATCGATTTAATGGATGGAATTAAGTCTAAATCACTTGGTCCATTATGGTCAGTTGGAAAGAATGAAACTTCAGCCTGTGTGCAGAGTTGAAACGAGTCATTAATTTTTGTGACTCGAGTCAAGTCAAGTCACTGTAGCGTTGTGACTCGTGTCGAGTTGAGTCATTAGGCACAAAAGTCGAGTCAAGTCTTTAGGTCGAGTCAATTTGGGTCACCAATATTTGAACACAGTACGATAAATAAAAACAAGAGAGGAAGTAATTTGGGGCATTTTTAAATTTTATCTTTGGGTTTCTACATTGCATTCATCCAAATCTTGCTCTTGATGACAACAGGTGATGTAAACAATATAAACCGACACTGTAAAGTCATTGGATTTTTTTGTCGCAAGAAGTTAGCTTTTATTTTTGGGACTCGAGTCAATGACATTTCACTCGAGTCCGGTCTTCTGATGAGGGACTCGAGTCAAGTCATTGGCTCACCATGACCCCAGTCGAGTCATCAACCGGTGCCCGTCAGGACTCGAGTCGAGTCGCCAAAAAATGACCGGAGTCAGACCAAGTCAATTCATTGTTTCGAGTCAATACAATTCTGGCAGTGTGCTTGCACCAATGCCTGGTTTTGGCTAGTAAAGGTATCAGAACTGGGCCGTCACTCAACGTAGAATGTTGATGGGCATGAAGGCTCGAGTATTATGCCTCATCTTTTTGTTGTTAATTTCAGCCCGAAAGAGACGGAATTATTGCACTCAGGGACGACTGATGATGGAATCGAAGTGCGAACCTTCCGAACGAGAGAACTTGTACCTCTACCCTTTGGGTTTCACATACCCATCACCTTCGATGCAACAACTAAACTGACAAAGTAAGATGGTCCATCTCCTTTTTTTACCCCGACAAATCAAAGAAATATATTGATTAACAATGTATCAAAGCTCAAAGTATGCACATGAAATTCGCTCTTAGCAGCCATGGAACACTTATACAAGTACATGTATTTTGTGTGGCAAGCATTCGTCCGTAAAACGTCAAAAGCGGTTGGCAGCAGCTAACTACAGCTCTGGTAGTGTCCGTTGATTAAGTTGTACATTTCCCTTTCCACTGCAGACCCAACAGAGAACTGGTTATTGAACTAGCCGTAATAGGGGGAACAAAAGGGACTTCCACCTGGACTCTGGCTGCCAACAAAGGCACAGCAGGTGCTGCAGTGGGCACGCTAGTGCGCGAGGAATTCACCTTGGAGTGTATGTGGATCACCTGCAGCTTCGTGGAGGAGAAGGCGAGGACGTCTCACGCCGAACTCTTTCGGAATATGAAGAATGACCTCGACGGAACGGGGGAGGTTTGAAACGACTGTCCCTTCGCTTCCGCGGTGGCATTGCATCAGAACCTCTGTGGCTTTAATCCAGTTTTTACGGCTTTAAATTTGAAGTCGCAACGAGCTGGACATGTCCGTGGCACTCACAATCGGCACACTAGTTGTGAAAATGACGTTCATCACCAAGGTTATCTGCTACCTTGCCCTTCAGCTCCTTCGGATGACGTAACTATGTGAGGTCCTTTGTTTTTGTGGACCACCTTGATAATGTTTCTGGTTAGGGGTCGCCAAAACACCCCCCCGACAAGCTGAGGCATAACCCAGCTCACAACCACCCCACCACCACTGAACACTGCCACTGTGCCAGCCATGCCAGCAGCTTTTGACCATGTTGTAGTGTTTTCTTTGCAATTAACTACAAATTATCAGTGAACATGAAATAGAAAGAAAAAAACATATGACATTAGATTTACTTTTGCCGTCGTGAAATATTTTTTTAAAAGATTTTGATGCACTTTACCATTTTTCATGAAATGTTTGTAATTTTATTTTGTCACTCCAAAACATCAGTTTTCAAAGTCTTTGTACGAATTTGGCTAAGACTGGCCACCAACATGTTGACTACCACAGAACAGTTAAATTTTCGAAAAACGAAATGCACTGTTTCATCACAAGGAGTGATCATGAGATTTCATAAAATACCCTTTTGTGTAACTTCCGTAGTAAAAATGATTCAAATAAAACACAAAATCTTATAAACAACTTGGCTATTTATTTCAAATTAAGTCCAGAAGAAAGCGTTCGATAGGGGCAGTAACTGCACATGACACTAAGGGCACACAGCCTAGTACAAGCAACTGCGCAAGCATTAAATTTGATGTTGCTGTCAGGCCATACGAGACACCAACGATATCATGAATATTCAATTTCCTATACTTCAGTACACAACGTTTGAGGATGCAGATTACCAGCGACAAATTACGGAGACGATCATGGGGTACAAAGGGGACTTATGATTGTGAAACAGGTGGTGCATAGCAAGCATTCGCTGCGCCCTGGCTATGGGCATACCTGCCATGCCAGAAAGCACTTATTGGCCAGATGTTATCGCCCGGGCTGTTCAAACTCCTGTGTCCTCCCTCCATGTTCTGACCGAGTCTGTTCTGGGATCTGAGATTAGTTTGAAACAGCTGTTGTTTGCCTTCAGAGCCAAACAAAGCGATAGCGATTGATTACCAACCATAACATCAGCGGCAAGAATTGCTACACAAAAAGGGATCAGGTTTGATTGTTTACACTCGAATGAGGCTTCCCTGGAATGCAGGTTTCTCAGGACTGGTATGGTCTCTGGGCGTGTCTGCTGTTCAAGCTCAAAATAGGTGGATGGAATGATAACTACATGCAGCCTTACCACGCATATCGGTTGTGTAATCTTTTATTCATGAAAAAAAGTCGTACTTCCACTGCAGTGTTGGTGTCATCAGTCTCAGATAAGGGAATGAGCAGGATTGGGTACATAGACCGAACACCAATTCCGGTTGACGTGCTTTTTTTTGCGATCTATAACGTACACGTGTACGATGGTGGATCAATCGAAAGACGCACTAAGAGATATTTCATATACCGTAAAATGAACATGAATGTCCCGATGCATTCAATGACTATTAAAAAACGACATCACAGAAAGCCCATCAACAAGAAAGTGAGTTTGGCTCCGGCAATGTCAAAGTAAAAAATAACTTTCTAGAAAACATCAGGAACTGATAGCTACAAACACATCACAAATGCCTAAAATTTGAAGAGGGAGGCCTAGCCTCAAACACGTGCCATCCAGTCAACTTTGTTCTTCAAAAGTCTAACTTTTTGAAATTTGAGAGAACATCACTGCACAACATCATTTAAAAGTCGATTAAAAATAGGCCTACCTTCCTTTATACCCTCTAATATCTGTTCATGAGGGTATATCTGCAGAACAGATAAAACACATGCAAAATTAAAAGAGGCATCATAAAATTCTCCCCTTTATATCAAAGTGTTACTAAAAACACACTCCGTTCGAGGTACATTTAGGGGTATCTCCTGATCGGAATGAGGTGTACGTTTTAGAATTTTTGTTATGGCTTTCAGCTGTATCATGACGTCATCGAAATTCCTTTCTCTTCCTTGAAATATACCAGATAGGTACAAGGTGTCATTACAAACTATTAGGGAAGTTCAGTTAATAGCGACAGTTAATAGCGAAACAGAGATATCTCCGTCTGTTAGAGAGATCTCTCTATTTGTAATAGAAATATCTCCGTTTGTAATAGAGATATCTCTATTTGTAATATTTGTAATTGAGATATTTCTATTTCGGGATAAATGGCAATTCTGCACACCATACGTGATCATACACGATCAACACGACCACCTAGGGCTTTTACGCAGGGAACGCACATTGGGGAAATCAGGAAGTGTACATATTAAGAGTTTCATGGTAACAACAATTTTAAAATGACTTTCACTTTGGCTACAAAAAATGCCGAGGGTTATACTCAGTAGATTTTGCATTTAACAAATACTCCACGTTAAGCACGTTAAGCTGATGTAGGCCGCGCCTTTAGTATAAAATATGATACAATCATTTTTATGAATCCTACACAACCGTAACCGTAATTAAACAGTCATGTACAAGCCACGCGTGACGTTCAGAGATGTTGATGTGTGTCCTCTCGATTTAAGCAACACTTTATAAATCGGTAAAATTCCACAACACGTCCTACATGTGAAGAACTGCTGACGGAATTCAGAAATCGTTATGTGGAACGAAAGCGCTGGACATTTACAAGTCGTATGTAGGCCTACATTGTCATTTCTCCAACCCATCAGCAAGTTTGGCGCCGGCTGAGACCCACGACCACGCGTCACGTGCTTCCAGTTCAAATTATGCAAAGGCAGCCACACAGTTTTACTGATCAGAAACGCTCAATATTACTACGTCGAGTGCTGATGATGTGAAGGAAATAAATATTTGAGTTCATTCTCAAACAAAAAGTCCTGAAACTGTCACTATGTGGGGGAAAATTATTCACATAAAAGAAAACTATTCAGTAATCTGAAGAAACGATGCATAGGCTTAGCAGCGTGTTGAAAGTGCCTCAAACCTTAAATTGTCCTGCCCAAGAAAATGTTAAATTGATAAAAGCCAAACCAACGTGGACTTGGGGGATGTTTTAAATAAAAATGCCACCAGTTACACAATCACTTCCACTTGAAGAAACTGTTAAAGGGTAGCTGTAACCAATTTATTTTCACACGAACTTTCAAAATGCCCCTTTGTGTCTCAGTTAACCTCATTTTCAACTTTGGTTTCACTATTTCAAAGGGCATTTTACACATGTACTGCCTTTTGGGATTTTATGCTAATTACATTTCCATATTCATGACCAAACTGTGATGTCATCTCAGGAAGAGATCCTCAATGCTACATTGGTGTGCCCACAAAAAGTCCCGCACTCTTTGTAGATTTTGCTGGACTCGGTTTTCTCTCCTTTGGTGATTCATTGTTTACGTACAGCGCAATAAGTAATCATCAATCCCTTTCTCTGAAAAGTTTTCGGTGAGTAAATTCCAATGCACAGAACTGTATCTTCCCTAGAGGAGGACATCGTTATCCATTACAGCATGGATAATTTTGAGGGTTTAAAAAGTGCACCTTTCGGTGCATTTAACAAAAATGTGAATGCAAAAGAGTTTCCACACATTAAAAAAAGAGTACAAAGTGGCAGAAAACTTGTGTTCTCGGAAAAATTAATTGCAGCTACACTTTAAACAAAACAGCCGCATGGCAACAGTTGAAAAGGACAGAGGGGGTACTTCATCACCAAATGGTTAACGAGTGACGACTCACTCTTCAAAGGTGGGAGGAGCCAACTCTAGTTTAAGAAACCAACACAAAGAAAGAGGGAGTGGCAAATGAGCAAGCGATCAATCATCGTTTTTCATTGCAGGAGAGTTTTTTAAGTGTGGGCAATACGTACACGTGCCGTTTGCACATTACGGCATTTAGGGCATGAGGACGCGGAAGACGTTTTTCAGTCCAAAGGCAGTTTTACGATAATGACTTTCATCTGTTCCGTGCCCATGAAGTGACGATTTGCGCAGCTTGATAAGTATATGCTCCAAGTTCTGTGCGCACATTGAAAGGTTTCAACGGTGACAGTAAAACTTGCATGGTCAATTGGAGAATATTTCAGTGGCTTGACAGGTTCTCCATACCAGATCGTTGTACAAAAGAGTCACGGTACATACAGGCGCGTGTCTCAACCTTACAAACAAAAACATCCTTTGATGAATAAAAGCTGCATATACATACACACATGCATGTACACATGTACATGTACAATACGCGATCAAAAGTTATCTTTGCATTTTGTATGGTCTTTAAAGTGACAAATTTGACATGAGCAGCACGAATATTAAGAAACTTGACAGAGACAGTTAGCTGAATCACTGTAAAAATTGGCACAATGTGGAAAAGAGGGCAGAATTGTAGGGGTGAGGTCATTAGTGTATCCGAGTTTGTTTCTGCATTCAATTGGGGACCCTGAACAATTGAGGACAATAAGGTCCCCGATTAACAGAGGGTCCCCGATTGACAACTGTGTACAAAACATATGGGTGGTCTTCTAAAGAAGTTAAAGAACAAACAAAAGAGGAACAATAGGGGGTCCCCAGTTGCAGGCAAATACACACTTGAGTGCGGGGGTTGGGGGTGTCCTCTGAGACATGTTGCTTTCTTTTAGGAATTGAAAGCACCAACACTTTAGAAACCCTCCAAGGCAGGAATGGGGAAGTACAATGCAGTTGAGGATTCTTGTAGGGATGAAACACTTGGGCGCTCCTTAGAGAAAAATTCCAACTCCCCCCCACCCCCCCAACTCGAAAACTTGGATACATGTTGGTGGGGGTGGGGCCATCTTACATGTAGCGTGTGCCCAGCTTCTTGTGAACCCCTGGGTGTGCGTCATCAGTTTTCACACACAGTACGCGGATTTAAGTCTACTGATGGGAGCCGGGCACACCCACTGACGGGTACTGGTATATGAAGTCGTAAGCCAGGCCCAAGTAGAAACAAGGGTTAAATTAAATGCAATTTCCACTGGACTGGGGGGGGGGGCTTTATCCTGTACACTACCATGTGAAATGCCTACATAGACATTACCAGTTGAAGTATCCTAGGCCAACTCACACACTACAGTGTTGCATGGCTGTCTCTAAATCCACACATGTATGTACACACTACATTCTTACATGTCAAAACATGTAAACATCAGATGAGACAAGCAGAAGAGAAAGGACGGTGGCAGAATGAACATGTGATGGGTGGATCTGTCTAAACAAGGTCCAGTAGAAATAAAACAGTGATTCTGTGAAACAAAACGTACATGTATATTGTACATGTACGAATATTGCACCTTGTGAAATAATGTACAGGTATATATAAAAAATACTGATTCTTATAGCAAAACAATACCACATGTTTTTACATTTTGATTTCAAAAGAGCTTTTAGTTTTGTTTTCCCAATAAGCCATTTGCGAGTTAAATTTGAATAAAATCTGGTGCACTGAGTTATCTGACTGCACATAAACATAACAATTTGAATTCCCCAGACTAAAGACACTGTTGCTATGCCTCGTGATTCGGGGCAAGCTTTCGCATAGCGACCACCATCTCTGGAATGGACTGGTTCCTCTGTGCCCTTCTTATCCATTGAGAATAGTGTATTGTTGCAAGGCATCTCTTATGTAACTAAGCAAAAGCTTGCCCCAAATCACGAGGTATAGCAACAGTGGTTTTAGTATGGAGAATTCAAGTTGTTTTGTTCAGGTGAATTTAAAGAACTCAGTGTACCAGATTTGGGTCAAAGTTAACTCGCAAAAGGCTTATTTAGTTGGGGTATGGTGCCTCGGCACGGCGTGCAAACTTTGGATTTTTGGGCCGTCTCCTCCCGTAGGGATTCTGTGGGTTGGCCTTTGGTTTGCCCTGGTCATCGCCCGCGTAGCCCTCCATGACAGCCTCGTCGGGAGGCAGGTGTTTGGCTCCGCCCCTGCCCCTCTCCCCCTCTCCAAGGGGTGGCGCAGCCTTCAATTTATCCGGCCGCTCCATGACCTGCCGGACATTCTGGGCATAGCGGTCGGGGTTTTCCCTGATCTTGTCCTCGTTCTCCAGGACGCGCCGGTCGGGCGTGCCGTAGTTGGGTGGGTTGGCCCGCGGGTCGTAGCCCAGCTTGGCCAACATGGGCGCAATTTTTTCGATGTTGTCCATCACATCCTTTGGAATGTGCCCAACCCATTTCGTCAGAGCCTCCAGGTTGACTGGCTTGACTACTTGATCAGTAGACTTCTCCTTCCTATTTAAACAAAAAAAAAAACCTCCCATTAAAAAGAGCCTTACTTCCCATCACATCATGCCCATCACATCAAACTGCAATGTACAGTCTTAATCTTCACTGAGGAAACATGCGACGGCATGATGTGAAAACCGGTACACTACGATCGCGACAGGCAACTGCACAATCAGACACCACAACGCAATGCATTCTTGTGATCTTTCGAAAACCATACATAGGACAGCACACAGGTACATGTAAGCAAACTGTGACATCAATCAGTAGAGAGGTCTGTCCGAAAGGGACTCTGCATGGCCAACAGCCCGACGAATTTCCACTCTTGCGTGGTATTACCCAAAGTTCATTCCTGTGCGTAATGAGCCAGTTTAGTACGGTCAAACCTTGATGTACATGTACATGTAGTGGCCACCTGCGGTACCAGATGAACGTGACTATCACAGCAGGTGGTCACTATAGCAAGGCTGTACACATGAACACATACATGTACATGCTTACAATGTTTATAGACATGTACATACACATGCGTACATTCTGTGCTTGCCCACAGACATTCACTCTAACCCTCCTTACCAAATAAATGTATAACAGAGACTTTAAGTTTACATATACAATGTATTTCTTTCAAATTCTTTTGCTCTCATGACACCAGAACGACAAGAAGAAACCCACACAACTCTACATACATCTTTGATCTGGGTTGGCCGCAGGTCGTGTTACGCAGTGGCTGCAATAGCAAGATGAGGTTACGGTATGTTTATGTGAGAATCAAACTGGGACCGAGCAAAGGCAGCCAGATTAGCCAGGTGGCGGCGGGAGTGAGGTGCCCGCAATGGCAGGTTTGACTGTGTTTCAAAAAGTAAGGCCCTTCGGGAACAAAGAATGCCTGCGAGTTTTGGCATGAGACCACATTGACAAGGCAGATCTTGCGCACGCGAACTGCTTGTTACTGGGCACGTGCAGTTGCAAGACTACACTACTACAGTGCTTTCAAGTTGATGTGTATTGGCGTGCATGTGCTTAAAACTACATGTACCGTATTTAAAGTCGTACAGGTACTTACTTTGAGAGTGAGATGCCACCTGGTTTTCCCACTGTATCCTCATGATGAAGCACGTTGTCATCCCAAGGAATGTCCAGGAATGCCAGGATTTTCCGCATCCACTCCTCAGGATGCAGCACCAGCTTCTCGTAGAACACCGGCAGGCAGACGTCCGGTCCCAGCTGCATGCACTGATTGTACATGTTCTCAACGGCAAGGTTCCACTTGGTCAGGCAGTCCTTGTAGCTCTCGATGTTGAAGCCCGTGATGGTGACCTTGCGGGAGATGATGGAGTGCACGGTGGCCCGGCCGTCCCTCAGCATGAGCAGGTACTTGCCGTTAGGGAACACCCGGTGGAGGTAGACCATGGACTTCAGGACGAAGGGGTCCTTGTTACACAGCCGCCGCGCCGGCTCGCCGTGCTTGGCGATGATCTCCAGTATGAATGCAGACAGCGCGTCATCGATGACGTCATCGGTGAGCCCCGCCTCCACTAGCCGGCCGTGCTCCTTCGAGGATTTCATCCACTGGGCACGCATGCTGAGCAGTCGGGGTATGAGGCGGGTTTCCTCCCCGCATCGGACATCCGGGTGAGCATCCAGCATGGCACGCATCAAGGTGGTGCCGCTCCGGGGCATCCCACCGATGAAAATCAGCGGCATATCTTTGTCGTACACATACTCATGTTGTTGCTCGTCGTAAACGGCATGCTTTGCTTCTTTGGGCATCATGACAGTATTGTGTTGTCTGTCCACTGGACAGTTTGTTTGGATGACAAAGTACGTAATCGTGGCTGTAACCAGCACAGTAATGACAGTCTGCAGTTTACTGCGTCCCATGGTTCTCCTCATAGTGAGATCCAGAGGATATCAGGTACAAAAAAGCACAAATTCTGACATCTCATGTCATTCGTGAGGCACGTCTACATGTATGCCATCACTTCATTTGGGGTTTTATTCCATCCCCATCAGTAATCACGTTACTAACTTGTGCGGGAGGGTAAAAACCTGTCTTAAATACACACTGATACAACCAATTTTTTGAAAGACAGTCAGGTGTGTCCTTTTTCTGTCCTAGCAGACAGTCTTGCAGGCATTGCAACAGATGCAAGTAGAAAGTCTCACTCCACACTTCCACTAGCTGTAACCGTCGTGACTGCAGCCCTTCACTGGACGCTGGTTTCCCATGTGTCAAAGAACAGCACTGAGAGAACAATGCTTCATCTTGAGAAGCGGGCATCCATGCCACAGGAGCACACGTCGAAAGGCCTGAATGGAATTGCAAGAAAACCGATCTGCAAAATGTCATAAACTGTGGAAGTGCAACAGGTACATGTACGTGGCACAACACATGCAAAGAGGAGTCGATCTTTCTCACTAAGAGTACTCTGAATAGTCGGCCAAAACGTCATCCACACGTAACATTTTCTGAACAGCAATGCTGTACAGGGCGTGGATAATTCTTATTCCCTCTGAGGAAAAAGTTCAGGGGGCACACAGAACATTTTTCGGCACAATCTGCTACGGAGAAAGCTGATGTCTTGACAACATCTCTCACGTTCAAGAGTCTCAGACGCGCCAGCGTGTCACTGACCTCATCTGACATGGAGGTCAACTCACATGTGCCATACCTTTTATAGGTATTATCAAATGGACCTCTTCACTAATGGAAGGTATTCCTTTCAGAATTGTTCAGAATGACTGCTACAGAAAACTTGCAATGTACAATGGCTGATATCTCGACACCTTCCGCCATTGAAGGTACAGTCGAGAATGCCTGCTGGATTCGTCTATTGTCTGACTGAGGTATTACGATCAATGCACATTTTTTAAAGCCGCATGTACATGTTCACGTATAAAATTTCATTTCTACAGCTGGGTCTCCTAAGCTGCAAACAGATGGTGGCCTTGCTCCAATTGGAATTGCATTCTGACCTTTGATTGTGACTGCAGATATTCCACCTGCAAAACTTTACCGACAGTGCACCATCTTTCCGTAGGTATCCCCGGAGACCATGTTGCATTTGGTTGGTAAGGTCTTTACATGTGTGTAAAGGTGTGGCCTTTACTTGTACATGTACACGTACACTGTATGTGTGAAAACAAAAGGTTTCCTGTGGATATGTGAACATGTGTGCTTCGGTGTACATGTACATGTAGCGTACATGTACATTTACAATCAAATCACGGCCACTCAGAAGAGGTTAGTGAGGTCTTCCATAACTGACTAAATGTCTGAATCTGACCATTTTTGGGCCAAATACATTTGGAAGCAATCTCCTCAAAGCATGAATAAAACAAGAAATACTTAAGAGGACAGGGTTACATGTACGTGATAGAAGAGTCCAAGATTCTGCAAGTAAGCAGGTGTTACATTCCATCACAGGGTTGATTGCTTTCTCAACTGATACAGTTCCCTCCTGATATACATGTATTAAAGTGTCACGTTTATAATTAGATGTGTCCATGTATGTACATCTTAGGTGTCCACACATACATGTACATGTAATATGCAGCTTACATGCTTATACATGTACAGTATGTACATGTATGTATGTATGTAAGTGCATGTGATCTACTGCATCATGGTATCATGCAGCCTGTGATGTGTACCACTGGTCCACTACTGCTGTTGCATTGTCCTGGTTGTGGTAAGAGACATGCCTTGAGCCTAAACCCACTGTTAATTAAGACCTTAGTCACTTTCCCAAATAAATGTTGTTGGGGGGCGGGGAGGGGGGTCCAGGTGAACCTCATTTACACACCCTGCCCATGTATTTGACTCACACTGACTGTGTAAGTCCATGGTGTGTGACCCACTAGACCATTAAGCACATCCCCTGCAGTCACAACACCAAGGTCAATTGCATTTCCCTCCCTTAGGCAAAGTTCTACTTCATGCAACTGTGCATCTACCTCAGGGGTGGATCCAGGAATTTTTGGGGGGGAGGGGGTTCATTCAGCCTTTCTTCAAGGCGCATGCGGTACCCCAGACACTAGTACAGCGGCAACATGAAACCATGGCATCCCAGATGTATACAGAGGTCACAGGAAAAAGACAAGTGGAAGTGGCAAAGCCATGAGCACTGTTTACCACGGCACCGGTACTTGGTACCTGTTTACCAAGAAGGTTTATTTTCTTTACAATTCTCTACGATGTTGGTACATAGTAACTCTTCTCGTGCATAATGCATTACACGTTGTAGATACATGTACTCCCAAATAAATATGCAGAGACTTTGAGACCATTTGACATCACACACACTCACATGGAAGGCACTGGGGAACATTGATCATTTCCGCAAGCGCCCGGAACAATATGACACGAACTCATCATGGGACAGTAAATGCTGGACACTGAAAGCCACAAAGAGAAAGTCATTGACCACATACATATGGTCCAAGACATACTCACAAGTACTCGTACTTAAACGTGCTTACATGCTACCAGGCTCCAGCTTAACACGTTGACTGCCGACTAAGTGTAAGTCTGGATTCTGAAATTATGAGTATATACTCATAGGAAATGAAAGGCTATTGTAATGTAAATTGAACACACTGGCATCAACGACGAACACAGTGTGGCGGACACACATGTACACAGATGTGTAAACTGCTCATGTTCAAACATCTCAAAGGACACGTGAAAGGTGACTATTAAGCACATGCGCATGCGTACAAAGCTAAGCAAATGGAACACCCCTTTAAAATTATGCGTGGCAGTCAATGTGGTGAATTGTAAAAAGCAGCCTAGCTATCGGTACATATTTCAAATGACTTTTTAATGTTATTTCTCTTTTACATGTGTCCCTGCAGGTTTGTTCATGGTAATCTGTCTCCTGTGTGTTCAGTACAGTGATGAATGAGCCTGATTTTAACTTAACTTAATGTATCGTGAACAGTTGGTGCGTTTTGCTTTCACTGCAAAATGACCAATTTCTTATCTGAAGAAGAGCTAAAAGATAGTTATGTACCAGCATACAAAAATGCTTTCCATGTTAAATTCATAGTGGAATGCTTTAAATTGTATTACGTCAAATCATGTTTTTCATGTTTTAAATCATGCTTTGAAATCAAAAAGCTGATTGAAATCAAAACACGTCACTACACATACATGTATTTGGACAAAAACGAGTAGTTCTTAATATCAACACCGTAGACACTGAAGGGCTTACAGAATGGTATTTGTCATTAACAATGAACAAAACCTCAGAAAAATTACAAATCAGTGGGAAAAATGAACAAAAATCACAACCTTTTGCCAAAAAATTAAAAAGTTTGATTCAAATCATGTTGCTTTAAACTCACAAGTTAAATCGGCGATCAACACTGAGGTACTTTAAATCGGCCAGCCCTGTTGGTGGATGGATTGGTGAGGGACAAAACTGTGTATTTTTGCCGTCAATTTTTGAGTACACTGTACAAAAACGAGGCACTGTTGTCAGACGTGCAGATACGTGTATACATACACGTACATGTACCATAGATGGGGCATTTCCAAGACAGCATATTTTCTATGAAATCTGCACCTCAACTCCAAAACTTTATTTACGGGTTAGTTTTGCCCTTACATCAACATGTATACGCACAAACACTGTGTACTCGAAGCTTGTCTGGGAGCTTATGAGAAAATTCACAAGTCTGCTTGGGTGGGACTCGAACCCACGACAATGATTGGCATCTCCCCAACTTAATGTACATCTTGAAAATACTTGTAATTCACGATTCCAGATTTTACTCGATCTGGATGGCTTGAGGATAAAATATACATTTTTGTGCATTCACTGTCTTTTAAAGGATGTCACATAACCGAATATGTGGATACATAGAATGCTGGTGTACATGTAGATCTATGCTCTTTTTGCTGAGGGTACCTTTCTCAAGTTGAGCATCACTGTGCACTTATTTATGGGTAATTCCAGAAATTAGGGGTCCAAAAGTGTGACGTTTTTGTGTCCCTGTTATATCTGGCGGTGACCTCTGTTATTTGACATGGAATTGTCACCGAAATTGGTTTCAAACTATTACAATATGTTTGGCAGGTAATTTGAATTAATTCATCACTCTGATCATCACTCAAATCAAATGTGTTTTGAACTTACAAAATCATCTGTCAGAAGCAACAGGGACACACACAAAAAAATGGCCCCCTTATTTCTGGCATTATCCTCGTAAGTGCCACACACATTCAGCTCAGTGACATTTCTATGAACAGTTTGGACAGCTGGCATAGCTGGGAAAATGTGTGGCGAGGTAGCACCATACACGGGGCTGAACAGCAACCCTCAATTAGAATTTCCTGTCGGTACATGAACAATTAGCCCTTTTTCTTGTTAACAGGGAGCTTTTGACGCTCAAGCAGTTCTATTTATGTTGGAATTCCTTTAAAAACTCAAAGAATATGTCCTGTTACAGTACCAAACACCAGGACTCACCCTTTCAAAAATATATCTTGTGTAGCAATGTCTTGGCTACCATACATTTCAAAGGCGGCCAGCTGCGTAGATTTAGGCAGGAATTTTTGCACACACATGGTTGAACCCACTAAGAGCTACCTACTCCTGGGCACAAAAAGAAGTAACTCTTTCATGTGAACTGCTTCGACTACAGTTACAGACTGTAAGTTGCAGAAATAAAAATCAGCTCTGAAAAATTTCAACTACACTGTAGTTTTCTGGCAATTTTGTTTCAAAGCCCAGGTGCACAGAAATAGGAGGATCGAGGGTACATTGTACATTTTAACGGCCCAACGAAAAAACAACGCTAATTCTAATTTGCCCTTAAATGTTACAACAGCTGTCAGAAATTGACAACATGTCCCCAAAAGTGAAATTTAGGAAGGAAAATTCTGAAGCATTTACTTGAAAACACTTAGGCCTAGGTTTTTCAGTCTCATAGGTTTGTGTACAAGCTGGCATCAAATTAAGTGTTGTTCATAAAGTGTTGTTCATATATTTTTATGGAACTCTTTCCCAGACAAGAAAATCATCAGTAGAAATTGATAAATTGCTAAGCTAGGCTGGGGTTGGTGACACCGAAAAGTGCAATTTTATGTTTATTTAACATCCAACATCCGTCCTACCTGGAAGTTGGACCACGGACATGGTTGGACATGATGGATGGTGATCATGGTGGAATCATGTACACGTACATGTACACGTACACTGTACGTCTACATGTATGCGTACAAAGTACTAGTAGTGGTGCCTATACCATGTACATGTACGTGAGAGTGAACTCATGCATGTGTTCTTGTTCCTCCGTGGTTTAACCATTGAGCTACATGTGCAAAAAGGAAAACATAATGATAACTGACGTCGATTGACTCATGCTCATTCAACATGTTCAACTTCAACAAGACTTTGAATATGTTGACTTACTCGTCTACGCAGTGCCATGAAGGGACAGCAAACTACAGAATTTCGGCATCTGTCTACATTGATGTTGACACAAACGAACAGTGGAGCACGTCACAGCGATCTAGAAAGTGAGCAGATTCGGCCCATCCGCAGCATGTGAAGACGTTGAATTCACCTGTTCTCACCGTACCTTAGCGGGTTCGCTGTACGAAACTCACACATGTTTAAGCGCTAACAGCGCAGAACCGGCAAGTCAATGAGCTGTGCACCAGTGAAAAGTAGCTGGTAAAACGTGACCGACTGAGGGCGGCATTTTAGCACGAAGTGGTCTGGATGTGTCTTACCGAACCTGACACTGTTTAAGTTTCCCCTCGTAGGCTTACCACGGAAGCCAAGCACACGGTAAATGCAGCCAACATCCCTCGAGCGAAGGATGTTGAGTTATGAAATTCTCAAGCAAAAAAGGGTACATCATCAATGTGAAGATTAGGAAATTGCTTTCTGAAAGAAATATCAATCAGTTCACCATAAATTTAAATTTAACTGTTGTGGGCTGAACTAGATCACTAGGCACTTTAGTAACGATTTCTTAACGAGCACACCAGATTCTCCATAGTTCTGAGAAGGTAGAATCCACAGGCACAGAGACATAACTTTTTTACCTTGCAAAATTAGTTTTGGCCATGGAAATTATGTTCATACAAAAGCGTTACAAGCCTCTCTTCGTGCACCCCTGGGGAATGGCGCAAGAGTGCGACAGGTACAACCACAGGGAGGATAAAACCAGTTAATTATCGATTTGCTTCATCGCTATATGTCTTCACTTGCCTTTCGTCTCTAAAGGACTCTGTAGCACTGGTGAACTCTTACAATAGACTCAAAGTGTTTCACAAAGGAAAGAACCCGAGTCGATCAATAACCATCGACTCGGCAAAAACCAAGACGCCATTTCTGGTGAAGACTATTCCAAGGAGGAAAAAAAAAATAAAAACCAGGTGTATAAAGTTGTTGAGATGGAAACAAAAACTTCGTTGCTACTGTGTTTTATCTTTATTGTCTCCAATCCATGGGTCATCTATGGAGATGTGGTTGATACATACAGACGGCGAGTTGTTCTAGAGGTAAGCTTGTGAATGTGTAATTATTTGATGGCAACACGTATGTATTACCGGCACAAGAAATGTTGACCACAAAGTGAACTGACTACAGCCAACCAATCCAAAGTTTGAAGATCACTGGAACGGACAGTAGCAGCTCTAAAAAGCAACTTCATAGCAAAACTTATAGAGAATGAAGCCACATCATGGCAAGGACACTCCAAAGGTCCAATGTAACGCTGGATAACCCCCTCCCCCCAAATATTATTTTCGGGAAAGCCTAACAGAGCTTTTGATTATTATTCGAAACGGTGACCCAGTAAACATTGGCGTCAGGACTATTAGGTCCGGGGCCTTTTTCCTTAAAACAACTGTCTATTTTTTCTTCAAATTAAAACTTCAAGGGTGACAGTACCGTTTCTACAAATGCTAGTGCTTTCCGGTCCTTCAAAATAATGGCAACAAATCTCCGGGAGAGGTACCTTTCTCTCCTCCCCCGGCTTTATATGCCGTGAGGCCTACCAACAATCTGGAAAAATTCAGTCTTTTGGGGGCCGGGGGAAGAAATTGGATGCTTTAGAAAGAAAAATAATCAAGCCATCTCTCAGCTACAACAGAATGTATTCAGGACGAATGATTAATTTGGAGAACAAACATTTATTGTTTTTAGAATTACAAGTGTAAGTAAATTCCTAACACGTCTACTGAATATTTTCCACTATTTCCTGTCACATCATTCGACCGAAAACTGTTGTTCATTTTGCTGTCAGGAGTGTTCGGCGGGCAGCGACGGTCCCCCAGGACCACCGGGCCCTCCGGGCGTGAAGGGGGACCTGGGAGGACCCGGGGTTGCCACAACTAACTGGCGGCAATGCTCTTGGTGGATGATTAACGACGGACAAGACAACGGTGAAGTCCGTGTAAGCTAACAAATTCAATCAAAGATACGACAGTTTATATTTTCAGAATCTGTGGTTTACGAATGCCGCCTCTTCCCTTTTGAATCCAGAGGGTATAATGAAATCAACATAGGGAATACAACAGCCGATGAGGTGGAGAGTGGCTTAACACAGAAGGAAATCGGGGCGCTGTTCGAAGTAAAATCGAGACAAGGGCAAATCTGTACGCGCCGAGAAAATAGGCAACAAAACAATGATTGTTGCCTGTTTCACTGACTGTAGTGTCTTTGTGGCAAGAAATTGTTATTGTGGAACCAGTACAGAACGCACATTTGCTTAACAACATGTAAACAAAACCCTAACTACGCACCGAAGCAAATGCCTTTAATATAATCCCACCCACGAGAAATTCTCTTTTTTACAGTGTCTAGACAAAAATATCGGGATGAGTTTCATGACGTCCACTTTCGGCAATGTACATGTAGTTGAAACAGGGGCTGAATAATGCTTGAAATGGCTTTTTTTCTGGGAAGACAGGCGCGCCGAGGAGTGGTTGTGAGACGGGCTACTCTACTGAGGCAAACGCGTGGAGCCTCATACCTGATAGAGAAACCTAACCGTAGAATTCAAAGCATGCAGAATGCCAATTCTACCATATCAAAAAAGCTCCATCGGTAACACTCTTGGACATGAACATTTTAATATTTAATGCAGTATGACTTTTACATCAGAATTTCCAGACTGAAAACCTTACTGTTTTTCTCAAGTTGAAAAGCTGCTAAAGTAATTAGCTGCGGCACGCGGTCTACTTCCATAAAACCTTTGCTTTCTGAACAAGTCAACTTCCTAATTTCACTTAATCTACGCCTTTACCTAGACGTGTTCCTTCACCAAGGAATACTCCGACACTTACCTCTATGTGGCGATCTCCGGCAACCTCCGCGTAGCGTACAACAACCCCGCCTGCTGCCGTTGGTACATCACATTCAACGGTGCCGAGTGCTCCGACCCGGCCCGCATTGAGGCTGTGACGTACGCTGGGGGTTACAGCAACTACAACTTGCACAGACCAAGAGTGTTCTTTGGTAAGTCTCTCGAACTCCAAATAGCAAAGGTGGTTGGGTGGGTCCTGACCCAACGCGGCCATGGGGCGGCAAAGGAGACACCTTTGCTCTCTATCTGCAGTATTGGAGACAGAATCCTCAAAAAGCCCACTGGAAGCCACAAGACGGGAGTTTGCCCTCTTTCATCTTACATCACAACGTCACTTCAGTGAAATACATCTAATTTGAATTGAATAAAATCCATAGTAGGAACAAGCGCCAGGATTCTTTCTGGAGCAGGACTTTTCCGGGGGGGGGGCAAAACACTCATCACCTACAAACTGCCAAAGGATTAAACGGTGGAAGGGGGTAAGTGCCAGGAATATTTGTAAACAAATTGGTGATTTTCATTCCATATCTGCGTTTTTTGTTGTGTTTTTCTATCGCTTTACCTTTATCCCAAGTTTTATTTACACCCCCTACGTAACGCCCATGTCTGGGATATGACAAAGCTGGAATCTCCCTAAATGTAACATACGGGTAACTGAAGTTGCTAGGACACCACATCGGATTTTCGCCCTCTTTTTCAGCGCCATTAAGGATCGCTCCGACAGTTTCTTTTGCGGTTACACTTTCGGAGTTGTTCTGCCACCTTTCATGCGAAAGCGTGGAACTTTTACGGGTGAAAGAAAAAACTGTCAACAGTCGTTTTTAGAAACACATTCCATTTTGCCATCCCTGGACACAAAACGTGACGCCACTTATGTGAGCATCTCCATTCTTGCCGATGTCTTTCCAGGTTATTGCAAAAGCTTGTCATCTGGAAGTTACACCATCGGCTTGAGAGTGGGCAACTGCGCTGGCTACGGTAACTACGACTGCTACACTGGATGGAACAGTGCACTGCATTTAATGATAGAGGAAGTTACACAATCGCCTTACGATTAGATCAGCTTTCTACAGACGTGGCAGGAGAATACTTCAATCACACTCGCTGTAATGACAATGCCCCATATCGAAAGACCTCCGGATTTTCAAAGAAAAAAAAGGGATAAGTTATAGCAACCTCTCGTGCTCATGCATCTATACCTGAGGGAAGCTTCTGGACAGTAGGTCTGCGAAGTGTTGTGATCGAAACCGTCCCAAGAACAGACACAAGACCCATCACAAGGAACAGGAGCAAACCGGAATGTTTTTGTTGTCGTTCGTTCAAATAGTTGTTGAGTTAAAAATGCATTTCAGTCTTTAACACTGACGGTACGAGTCTACGACATCACACGATGGGGCTTTTCTCCTCGTGAATGCGGAAATTGGATCAGCATGTAAGAAAATCCCTACGACACCCTAAGAAATGGTAATTTAGAAAAACAAAAATGGGTCCTGTGAGTGCAATCCCAGGATACCAAGGAAAAAATTCATGGCATTTGCCCCTCATCTATTCCACATACTTATTTTTACTGCCATGTTTGTGGCAAGGTTCGTCTGAGAATCTGAAGTGCCGTAAGAAATGATTTACTTGTAAATAATCTGGTAACCTGTAAATAATGTAGTAAATGTGACTTAAATTTGAAAAGTTGTAGAGACTTCATAAGACTGAAGGAGATTACGATAAACACTGAATATTTATTTCACTTTTAAAACCTTAATTCTGCAACCGTGCCAAGCTAGCTTACGTGTTAAGTTCAAACCCGATTGTGACAATTGTGATCAGCATGATAGTTAATGAGTGATTCTTGTAACAAAGTGGATATGATTTGCATCTGAATGTTTTCACTTAACTGATTTTAAACAATCAGAATAATCCTTAATAATTATATAAACCTTGCTTCATGTACCCAAATATACAAATATAATCTGATAGTACTGTTTCAGTTATTCAAATACAATGCTGTGATATAAAATTACTTATGAAAGCCAAAAGAATGTTCATTTCCTAGAAACAAACAAGTATGCTACATTAAAAATGTATAACTGCATTCCTTAAAGGAAAGTTACGAAGTTGACCAGAGTAACTTTCTGTACTTCACCTACATTTTCAAAATAACCCAATGCACCCAGTGTTAAAGCAAACCTCCCCAGAGAGTCTTTTTCGGTTATTCAGAGGAAAAAAGTCAAGCTTGTCTGTGCCCCCGACTCCAGCCTCACTAGTACTGCAGCCCAGCCATCGGTAATCAGACTTACGCCAATGCAAGATGGCATATTTATGCAACAATACCAGGCTTTACATGTGCATCATGAACTTGTGAGACCTTGAAGCCTGGACAGTTATTTCAAGTCTGAATCACAGGCAGGTGAACCACACAATTTTGGTGTAACGGGAGTTGACTGTTAAAATACCCCCCTGCCGGCATCAACCAGAAGCTTAGCTTACCCCCCCCCACTTCCACTGAACCCACTACTTTTTATCCACATTGCAAGCGACGTCTCTCGGACCACAGCCATCAAACGGCTTCATGTGGGGGTTGTTAAGGTCTCGGTCATGAACGCAGACACAGCGCCAGTTGTTTGAGCCGGGGATGAAGTACCGTCTGGGCACACCCGTCCACTCCCGCACCACTCCGCCGCTGTAAAGCCAGAACCAAACAAAGTACTTGATGTAAGTGTGGCAAATGATGCTTTTTTGAACATTTTAGCAGTTCTCCACTTTGCAGTGCAAAAAAAAGAAAAGATCAACTGCACTTCCTGCAGAATGAGTTTGGTTAACAGGAAAGAAATGTGTTATCAACCAAAATATTTAAAAAACTTCAGGGTACAAGAAAAAGACAGACAAACCTATCCTAACTCACACCCCTCTCACATGCTAGGATTTGCACCAAAGAGGTTAGGATGATAGTTAAAATAACTGAATATCTGAATATTCAACCTTCTATTCAGTTGAAAATTCAACTATTCAACTGTACCAAATTCACACAAAAGCAGAAACAATATACATATATTTATAGTACAACGAGGAGGTGGGGAGTCTTTCTAATGTTTGGTTCCAATAGAGAGTTTGCATGGCTGCCATCTTGCAGGTCAGTGGTTTTGTTTAACAGGGTATGTACTAAGGAGGTTTCCCAGTAAACCAAAAGGACTACCCTGCAAGATGGCTGCTATGCAAAGCCTCTATTGGTGGTTTATTCCCTCTGCCCCTGTGAGATCCCACAAGAAGTAAAGTCACAGGTAAAAGTGGAAGGAAATGTAACATTTTGGCCTTATTTTAGAGCATGTGCCTCAGCTGCCTTTACATTACATTTCCTCGCAACACCTTGAAATTCTCTCTCAGAAATTTTTCCTTTATTTTTTAATAGATTTTCACCTTGAACAGTCAGTTTCAAAAGTAAGTATTCAAATAAGGTTAAACAATCGAGTATCTGAACATTCAATTCATCTGCACAGTCCTATGGAGAGAACAGTTCAGTATTTAAAAACCACAGAGCAGCACAATCACCTCTTATCTGAGCACCATATTTTGGTACCTTCCTTCTGATTCCAGGAGGAGTTACAAGGGGGATACCGTCTGTTCAGCTCAGCCTCTTTGTCTTTTTCTTTTTTTCCTACCTCTACCACAAGCAGGGCTTTCTTCAGTGCGTCCGTCGGAGCCCCGGTGGCATCGTAATACCTGCCGACCAGTTTACCTGCAATTGGAAAAGGGAATGAGATACCTGTAAAGTAGATGTGAATGAATGTCAGACGAGCACAGGTCACTCTGAGACTGAACTCATCGAGTATGACTTGGTTTCACAATTCTGAAATGTGGTGCTTCAAAGTTCAAAAATTTCAGTTTCTGTAATGCTGTGCTAAAGACGTCAGTGAAAGCTTCAGTAATCGTTTGCACGTTTTCTTCTTTATTGCTTGAGTTTTGCTGTAGGTTTTGTTTGCCTTGTTTTATGCATGACAAGACCTCCGATATCATGGCTGGCATTTCCCTGTTTTCTGTGTTCCTGTGTCAACTGTGAACATTTCAACAACACCCTCATTAACTTTGGTGATACACTCTTTGACGGTTTGAAAAAGCAGTTTGCTTCCTTTCCAGCAATTCAAAGAGTGCTATAAACAAGGTCACATCTTTCATAATAATGAAAGCATATTAAATAGTGACTTAACTTAAAGGAAAACGCTGCAAGGACTCACCAACTGGTGTGTATTCCTTCTTGTAAAAATCAACCCACGTCTCCACCTCTAACATCTGCTGTGGGCTGAGTCCCTCAACATCATCTTTTAGCCCTTCCTCGTTGAACTCCCCCGTAACGTAAGCCCTTGTCGCGTCCCGTCCAGCAAAGAACTCATACCCGCCCCCAGGTCCGTAGTGCCGGGCCCCCTTCTTTACGTCAAACACTTGGCCGAAAACAGCCAGGTACAGACCCTTGCTCCCCTCATTGCCGTCGTACTGGGCCAATTCCTCCTTGCTGAGTAGTCTCAGGGGCTGTTTTGCGCGTGATGGAGGTATGCCCTCTTTCCCTCCAGATGTCCTGTGCCGGCCTGGTTCTAATGAATGCCCCAAGACTTTATTCAGTTTCTGACTGACCAGAGCAGACATGTCCTCCCAATTGTAGACTCCCAGCTGCCAAGCAATTACAGCAGTTACCACAACTGCCAGGGCTACTCGACCCAACATGGCTCAAGACACACTCCGATCTTGGCTTACAACTCCTCACAAAGCAATGGTGTACTCATTTACCACTTTTCCTGCAGCTAATCACAGAAATTAAAATTTTGTCAAGTTCATGTTAATATTTTGATGATGCTATCAAGTACACAACTTCCCTAAACTCATTTGAAGTAATAAGATGCAGGAAAAAATACTATTCAGTATTCTATACAACAAGATGCTCATCTACTCATCAGATGCTGATCCTAAGTAATATGTTTCTTTATTGATGATTTGTGTGTGCCAGTGAGGAAAAAGTGAAGATGAAAATGTGGAATTTGTGACATCTTCGAAAGGCTAACTGTACAAGGACACCTTTTTTGACATGGTAAATAAGCCACTGGGAAGCAACATGTCCTAAAAATGAAAAGTCAATTTTGAATGTATTTCTACCTCCACCATCATGTCCATGGAATTTGAAGCCTTCACTTCTTAGAAAATACTGAGAATACAGTCTCAAAGTATACTAGCGTTTGCATACAAAACAAAAACGTTACACGTCCAAGGGCGATAAACTACTACTAATCTCTAAGTGTAGGGGCTATACCAATAACATAAACTTGCGTATCGCAGGCCCGACACTAGCTGGCGACAGGGAAAATCTGTCCAAGGGCGCGGCCATGATAGGCTCTTTCAGCCTTACAAAATTGTTTAAACATCTCTTGCGATACAATCAAATTTCAACAGTTTTGAATAATAAGTATAATCGAAGAACATTTTCAAACAAGGTATATTTAGATGTTTTATCGCTTTGGCAGTTTATTTATTAATTCTCAAAATGTTTGAGATTGGGAAGTTACGGAAGCTTATTGCAGCCACGTTTGAATTATAATGTACATTGATTTTGTTGTTGATCGAACGAGTAACTACGAAAGGCCAATCGTGTCAATGAAGTATAAATTTCCAGCCTGACACTTATACGAATTACTAATTCATAATAACGAATTGATAATTCGAAATAACGAATAACTAATTCGTCATAACAATTACATCGATCCTCACGTGATTGGAGGTATGATGCATGCTTCATACGTCTAATCGCACATACATCTCTGTGATTTAGGCCTATTAAGTAAAACAAATTCGTAAAATAAAGAGGCTGTTCAATTAAATTACCAAATGCTGTCACATATCGATATAGTTTCGGCTGTGAGAACACGAGAACCACCGTTACTAAATTTAATATCACACTCCGACAACAAAATACACGCACACAAAACATAAAGAGCGCCCTCTAGGGACTCTGTGGAACAGTACGTACATGTACATGTAATTCGTTATTACTATTAGTAATATTACGAATAAGTAATTTCGTTATTTCGAATTAGCAATTCGCTAATACGAATGTGTCAGGTTAAAAAATTGTACTTCATTGGCCTTTTGTCAGTAAGTTCGGGTCCATTTGGCAATCACGATATTCTATTGGTCAAAGAGGAACGTAACACCTAAATTTCCGCGAGCGTTACCACAGCAATTACGGACACGATTTCTGTTGCATCAAAAGTTTTCTTTTTAAAACTTTGCTGGCCAGCAGACCGTTTTGCAACCTGGAGCCAACTGTGCAAGTTGCACGACCGCGCTAGGCTCCTTCAGGCGTCGCAGAGGCACGTCCAACGTACAAAACCAGTTTCCTGACTCAATCACGGACCGGTTTACATCAGTTGCCATGTGTAGTGGGCGATGTAGCCTGGCCAGTCGTTATACCCGGCCGCCCAGAACTTAAGCTCCTCGTCAGCAGCTCAGTGGAGCGTGGTGCACGACGAAACCCTGAATTCTTGGGGTAGTGCGGGCCAGTCAGTGTCAGATGATGTCATCACTGCGACAGACGCAGCGGTGTATCCAGGATTTAATGGAGTCTATTCGGCAAAATGGGAGTATTTCCGAGTCCTGAAAGCGAAGTCCATTTTCTCGTCCATCTGTAAAGGGAATCCCCGGGCCCCGAAGTACACCAGTAGTGTTTCGAAAGTTAATTGGCACCGCGTCTCCAGTAAGTTGAACTGGCCGCTCCTGCTGGACACAATTTGACATAATGACGAAGTCTAACAGTTGAAATTGGTTAGGCAACAACTTAAGTAGTACACGTACTTTGATTACCACCCGCCTTTGCCACCGAGGTTCGAATCCAACTCAGGTTGACAATTTAGTAGCCTGGTCCCTTGTGTTTCCTTCCTAACTACATCATAGTGCCGCTGAACATTTCCCCATGGTCTACTTAGTAGGTTTAATCAAACTTGCTCGATAAGGGCCTGTGTTTGTAGTTGTTTGCAGGTCCTTTTTAATTAATATTATATAAACCTAAATAAAGACATCTACTGAAGCCCTTCAATTACCCAGTCACCTCATAACCTGCTTGTTAAAACCGGGCCCCAACGACCAAGACAGAGACCCAAGCCTTAATGAACCATATCTGATGCCAAGACTGAGACCACACTAAATCTTGTAGCTGAATCACAAAACAAAAAACACAAGCGTTGAAGAAATGCACCCCAGGTTTAATTATAACTACCGAACACTTTGTACTTGAGAATCCTTATTTTCATATCAACTGCAATAATGCCCTCTGAACTGGAATATTAACATAATGTCTGCTGTCACAGGAAACGCTTCACTCGATAGTCTTGTAAATAGAAATCAAATTTTCCAAAGTTATGTGATGCGTTTTCCCACTGACGCTGAACTCCCGGTGATCTTCATAACCCCATTTAATTATATCAGAAATATAACATATTCAACGACTGAAAAGGCCAAGAAAAGTGAAATATCTGTGGCCCTCGTGCTCATGAACTTCGGCAATGGTCTCTGCACAGAAACATGTACAAAGGCGTCGTCCTCCTCACGTGCATGCACAACGTACCGCCATAACGTGGCCATATCAGTGTAGCAAGGTATGAGACGGAGAGAACCCCCC